GGGGCGGGTATATACATATATAATGAGTGAGATGTGCACCATCTGGTGGATGGTCATGCTGGAGACTCAGACTTTTGGGGGGAGGGGGGCAATGGGCATTTATTGAAACCTTAAAATCTGTACCCCCATAATATGCCAAAATAAATAAAAAAAAATACTCATTCAAAAGAAGGCCTAAATAGCAAAATAAACAAAGAGGAAATGAAATTAGAAGTCTGGAAGATCACATTAAAGTATGCTTTTGAAATGTTTTCTGGAGATGAAGAGGAAAGTTAAGAAAGAAAAGTTATGAAGTATGGAGAATAGATACTGGAAAGTCAAGGTCTGATAAATGATAACAAAAGAAAAGAAAAAAAAAGAAAATATAATAAAGGAGTAACAGAAGGTGCACTTCCCTGCCAGAAGATTATTCCTTTATAGCAAAATCCTGAAAAATTAATCACTATGGAATATTACTTGTAAGACAGGCTACAATTATTCCCCTCCCAAGCCCCTCCTATTTAAAATGGAAACAATTTCCCCACCACTTGAGTTTGAATTGGCCTCATGAAAGTGGTGGAAGTGACATAGCACTGGTTCCAAGTTATGTCTCATGAAACTTTGCATGCTTCTACACTTGTATGACTGCTATGTGAACAAGCTCAGAGTTGTCTGCTGATGGAGAGAAGTCAGGTAGAGCAGCCTCTAATTATTACATATGAGGCTTTCTTAGCGCTCAGCTGACCTCCCAGGTGATCACAAAACATGAGTGATCCTAGCTAAGACCAAAATAATCGCCCAATTGAGCTCAAGCCAAATTTCCAACCTGTGGAATTGAAAGAAGCCAAAGGTACTAGCTATATGGATATAGGATGGAAGAGAAAAGTATTCCAGGAAAAATGATCAGTATATGCAAAGCCTTAAGGTAAGAGTATACCTGTCATTTCTAAGTAAAAGCAAGTTGGCCAGTTTGGCTGGAGTGGAGTAAGTGATGAAGGGAAGTGTAGGAGGTGAAATGAGAAGGAAAAATGTGATATATTGTAAAAATGGCCTCACAATCTTCCCCTTTCTGCAAGTTTTCCCTTGCAATATGATATTACAGAGACTCCCATCAAGAAGTGGACTCTACAGCTATCTCGCCTCTGAAAGACCACCTGTCATACCCAGGCTGGCTGTTTCTGCTCAGGACCAGTGAGGGCTCCATAGTAGACAGTTAAGCCAGGGAACAACTGGGAGCAATTACCCCACCTTTGCCAGAGCACCTATCATACCCAGGCTTCCATGGAGCTAGGAGCGTACTCCTTTCCCCTTAAAAAGCCACAAGTGCTTTCATATGACCCAATGACAAAACGTGCTGCCTTATCTGAGGGAAGTGGATCTAGCAATCCTCTCCCCAAGCTGCTTGTCTCTTTTGGGAGGAGCCTGCCATCCCTGGAGGCAAATCCCTGGCACAAACACATCTTGCCTGGTAAAGCATTTCTGCCACAGCCTAAAGCCAGTCTGATAGCCCAGCCCACAGCAGTTTAAGCTTCCTCCACCACCTCTGCTGCAGCTTGGCCAGGGTGGGAACTGGGAATCTGGGAGCTTCTGTGCCCCTGAAGGATAGAGACCACTGTTACTGCTGAAAGAAGGAGGTGTGAATGGCTTGTGTGTCACACAGCTGCCTGTCTCTATAATCTCATCAAGAGGGATATGCTTGTCCTGTCACAGGTTAACAGTGCATCCACCTTTCTCCTGCCCGAGCATTCTTGTCTAATCTAGACACCATGTTACACAACACTGCCATAGTAGCAGAGGACTTCAACACTACATTGAATGATCTGTGCAGATCTTCCAAACAGAAAATAAGCAAAGAAATGATGGACATGAACAGAGACCTTGATAAAAAAAGGTCTGACAGATCTCTATAGAACATTCCACCCCAATAAAGTTGAATTTACATTTTTCTCAGCAGTCCATGGATCCTTCTCCAAAATTGATCACATCCTAGGCCACAAATCAGATCTGAGGAAATTCAAGAAAATAGAAATTATACCTTGCATCTTCTCTGACCATAATGGTATAAAATTACAGTTCAATTCCAACAGAAACACTCAACGTCTCACAAAATCATGGAAACTAAACAATCCATTATTGAAAAATTATTGTGTCAAGGAAGAAATTCAGAGGGAAATCAAGAATTTCTTTGAACAAAATGATAATGGTGATACTTGTTACCTAAACCTGTGGGATACAGCAAAAGCTTACCTGAGAGGAAAACTAATAGCAATTAACGCTCACATCCAAAAATCACAAAGCTTAGATACTGACAACCTAAGGAATAAGCTCAAGTAACTAGAAAAAGAAGAACAAACAATTTCTAATCCTAGTAGAAGAAAAGAAATAACGAAGATCAAAGAGGAACTGAAATGGAGAACAAGAGAACTATACTAAAGATCAACAAAACCAGAAGCTAGTTTTTTGAAAATATAAACAAAATTGATAGCCCTCTTTCTAGATTGACAAGGACTCAAAGGAAAAAGACTCTAATAATCTCAATAAGAAATGAAAAAGGAGAGGTCACAATGGACACCACAGAAATACAAAACATTATATTTGATTACTATAAAAATCTATATGCCCCCAAACTACAGAACGAAGATGAAATAGACAAATTCCTGGATACATACAACCTCCCTAAGTTCACCCAGGAGGTAACAGATCTCCTGAGTGGACCAATCTCAAGCTCAGAAATTGAAGCAGTAATTAAAAACCTCTCCAAACGGAAAAGTCCTGGACCTGATGGCTACAAACTCATACCTATACTACAGAAACTGTTCAACACCATTGAGAAAGATGGTATCCTTTCTAACTCATTCTACGAAGCCAATATCACCTTGATACCAAAGCCAGGAAAGGACGTAACAAAAAAGAAAATTACAGACCAATATCCCTCATGAATACAGATGCAAAAATCCTAACTAAATTTTAGCAAGTAGAATTCAGTAGCACATCAAAAAAAAATAATTCACCATGACCAGGCGGGCTTTATTCCAGGGATGCAAGGTTGGTTCAACATACACAAGTCTATAAATGCAATTCACTTCATAAATAAAATCAAGAACAAAGACCATATGATTCTGGCAATAGATGCAGAAAAAGCATTTGATAAAGTCCAACAGACCTTTATGATAAAAAATCTTAACAAAATAGGCATAGACGATTCATGCCTTAAACTTATCAAATCCATTCATGACAAACCCACTGCTAATATCATCCTAAATGGGGAAATATTGAAACCATTCTCTCTTCGATCCAGAACTACACAAGGATGCCCACTGTCTCCTCTTCTATTAAACATAGTACTTGAAGTCCTAGCTGTAGCAATCAGACAAGAGAGGGGTATTAAAGGCATCCAAGTGAGAGCAGACAAGATCAAACTCTCCCTCCTAGCTGATGATATGATATTATACCTAGAAAACCCCATAGATTAATCCAAGAGACTCCTAGATTTAATAAATAAATTTGGTAATGTTTCAGGTTACAAAATCAATATACACAAATCAGAAGCATTCATATATGCCAAGAACCATCAAGCAGAAACTCAAATAAAAAACGCAATACACTTTACTATAGCCCCAAGGAAAATTAAATATCTAGGAGCATACTTAACGAAAGATATGAAAGATTTATACAAGGAGAACTACAAAACACTAAAAAAAGAAATTGAAGATGATTTGATCAGATGGAAAAAGCTACCTTGTTCATGGATTGGCAGAATCGATACCGTTAAAATGTCAATATTACCTAAAGTTATCTACAGAATTAATGCAATCCCCATCAAAATATCACCAGCATTCTTTACAGATCTAGAAAAAATAATTCTGCACTTTGTATGGAACCAGAAGAAACCTTGTATAGCCTAAGCAATCGTAAGTAAGAAGAACAAACTGGGAGGCATCAGTCTTCCTGACTTGAAGCATTACTATAAAGCAATAATAGTTAAATCAGCCTGTGACTGGCACAAGAACAGAAGCATCGACACCTGGAATAGATCTGGGATACCAGAGATGAAACCATCAGTATACAGCAACCTAATATATGATAAAGCAGACAAAATTATACAATGAGGAAAAGAATCCCTCTTGAATACATGGTGCTGGGAAAACTGGTTAGCTACATGCAGAAGATTGAAACAGGATCACTACCTCTCACAAAAATTCACTCGAGATGGATAACAGACTTAAACCTAAGGCATGAAAACTTAAGAATCCTAGAAGACATTGGGAAAACCCTATTAGACATTGGTCTAGGCAAAGAATTTTGAGGAAGAGCCCCAAGGCAATCACCACTGCATCAAAAATAAACAAATGGGCTCGCTGGCTGAGGGATGGCGGCCGCCGCCATGATGCTTGTTTGCTTTCAGTGAAAACGAAGGGGGCACGGCGGCGGCGGCACGGAGGGGAAGGCGGCGGTGGGCGCGGAGAGGACGGTGAGGCTGGAGGCCAAGAGGGCGGGAGGGCGTAGTGGCAGCCCGTCAAGGCGTCTGAGGCTGGCGGCTGAAGCGGTGGCGCTCGGAGGGGGAACAAAGAGCAGCGGCTGAGGCGGCGGCGCTGTGGCAGCGGGCGGGACTGGTATGCTGGTTCCACAGGGCAGACCCTGCTGCACTCAGAGGGAGGAGGCGGCGGCGGCGGAGGAAGGCGGCGCACCCCGAGTGGCATGCCCAAAGAAAAATAAGAGCCCCCTGACCCTCGGAGGTTGTACACAATTATGTCTTCTGAGGAAGCAGCAAATGGAAAGAAGTCACATTGGGCAGAGCTTGAAATAAGTGGAAAAGTAAGAAGCTTAAGCTCATCTTTATGGTCACTAACTCACTTGACAGCTTTGCATTTGAGTGACAATTCCCTGTCCCGCATTCCTTCAGACATTGCGAAGCTTCACAATCTGGTGTATCTGGACCTGTCATCTAATAAAATCCGTAGTTTACCGGCAGAACTCGGAAACATGGTATCACTCAGGGAGCTCCATTTAAATAACAACCTGTTAGGAGTTCTACCTTTTGAACTGGGAAAACTGTTTCAGTTGCAGACTTTGGGCCTGAAAGGAAATCCACTTACCCAGGATATATTGAACCTCTATCAGGAACCAGATGGAACAAGAAGGCTATTGAGCTATTTGCTTGATAATTTGTCAGGTGCTGCAAAAAGAATTTCAACAGAACAACCACCTCCAAGATCTTGGATTATGTTACAAGAACCAGACAGAACAAGGCCAACTGCCTTGTTTTCTGTCATGTGCTATAATGTTCTTTGTGATAAATATGTGACCCGGCAGTTATATGGCTACTGTCCATCATGGGCACTAAATTGGGACTACAGGAAAAAGGCCATTATTCAAGAAATCTTAAGCTGCAATGCTGATATCATAAGTCTTCAGGAGGTTGAAACGGAACAGTATTACAGTTTTTTTTCTGGTAGAACTGAAAGAACGTGGCTATAATGGATTCTTTAGTCCTAAGTCTAGAGCTAGGACAATGTCAGAACAAGAAAGAAAACATGTTGATGGCTGTGCAGTATTCTTCAAGACAGAAAATTTTACTTTGGTTCAGAAACACACTGTTGAATTTAATCAGCTAGCAATGGCAAATTCAGAAGGGTCTGAACACTATGCTGAACAGAGTCATGACAAAAGATAACATTGGAGTTGCAGTACTGCTAGAACTTCGAAAGGAATTGATTGAAATGTCATCTGGAAAGCCACATCTTGTAACAGAAAAACAGCTTATTCTTGTGGCGAATGCTCACATGCATTGGGACCCTGAATACTCTGATGTGAAGTTGGTGCAAACTATGATGTTCCTCTCAGAAGTGAAGAACATTATTGATAAAGCCTCTCGAAACCTCAAATCCAGTGTATTGGGAGAATTTGGAATTATTCCACTTGTGTTATGTGCAGATCTTAATTCTTTGCCAGACTCTGGTGTTGTAGAATATTTGAGCACTGGTGGAGTAGAAACAAATCATAAAGACTTTAAGGAACTGAGATAAATGAAGTCTTACAAATTTCAGCTGCAATGGAAGAATGAACAACCAATGGAAGGATCACTCATGGTTTCAAGTTAAAGAGTGCCTATGATAGTGGCCTGATGCCTTACACAAATTACACATTTGATTTCAAGGGTATTATTGACTACATCTTCTATTCCAAAATTCAGCTGAACACGTTAGGCATCCTGGGACCTCTGGACCACCACTGGCTGGTTGAGAATAACATCAGCGGCTGCCCACATCCACTCATCCCCTCTGACCACTTCTCACTTTTTGCACAACTGGAGCTCTTACTGCCTTTCCTGCCCCAAGTTAATGGCATTCATCTTCCTGGCAGGAGGTAGTTAAGTTCCTTCAGAGGACAACCTTGATTTACTTGTAAACTCGTGAAAATCTGAATATAGGGAAGTGAGGTATGGCCACTAGGGATTTTTTTCCAAATGATGATTTGAATTTTCAATCTGATTATTTGATAAGGATACAGTATGAAAGCCAGGTGCTAGCAACAGACAAATTCTGAGCCCAGTATACTTTATATACTGTTATACAGGGATTGGTGTGTTTGCACCTATCTTTAATTTGTTACAAGAAATTTTCCTGTTTCTTCAATATAGTATTTTCATGCCTTGAAATAGGAAAATGTTTGAACAGCATATTCTCTTTGCACAGAGATCTGTAGCACTACTTTTTTGAGGCCAGTAGTAACATCCAGAGACCATTCTTCCATACTTTACTCTCTCCTTTTTCAGACTTGTTTGTAAAATATAGAATTTGAATTTAGCCTTTATGATTGTATATGATCCACAGAAGACCTGATTTATGAAATTTTGTACTAAAAAAATCAGATTTGGAAATGATTGTATTGTAAACTAAGGCTAATTTTTATTTTACCTGTTTCATGTGTTATAAAGGCCAGCTTGTAAAAGAAGCTGCAACAGACTTTCTCTGCTCATGATTTGCACTGTTAGGGTTTTGTTAGCCCTTTTGTACTACTTTATTTTTAAATTGAGAACATTGTTCTTTAAATCTAAATCTGCTTAAACTTCAGAACGTTTTCTTGGACCAGAGGCAACTTATTGATGAATTTCTGAATTTTTATGAAAACTATCTACCAGGTCAGATAAGCTGAACAGTGTAGGCATTTATGGCTTGAATGTAATGGTTGGTATATGTACATTCTGATATTTTTAAATCTTTAACTATTTTAAGTTAAAAAAATTACAGCTGCTTAGGTACAGCCTCTTAACTCCTTTTTGAGACACTTCCTGTCCTATCTCCACTGTGCCTGCCTAAATTTGTTCTCACCAAGCACTGCCTGTGCATGCATAGAAAATCTGTGCATCCTCTTTTATATTTTTAAAATCCTGTTTAACATTTTTGAGAATTTTATGAAAATGCTTTTGTATGAGCTGTGGCTTTTTCCTGTTGTGAAGCATTGAATATCCCATTTTGGAACATGTTCATAGGGTGGGTCCCTGGATCTTTGCTCACCAGACCCAAGCACTGCTTCTTGGTGTCATCGCACAGTGCTGCTTGTGACCCAGAATACTACTATCATGTGAATTCTTTTTGTTATCCATGTATTCCTTAGTCTCTTTTTTTTTAATCATTCCCTTTTTAAAGAAAAAGTAATTTTCCGTTTATGAAGCAGTATAAATTAGATGCATTTTCAAATGGGTCCCTAAGATAATTCTTCAGATCATTTTTAAAGTGACTAAGTCATTTTAGTATGTCAACCAAAATAAAAGTTATATTGTACCCTGTATTTTGCCCATAGTGCCCTTTAGTAGATTAGAGATTAAAGCCAGCTTTGACTTTGCAAAGTTAATAAATAAATAAACAAAAATAAACAAATGGGATCTCATCAAATTAAAAAGTTTCTGCACAGCTATGGAAACTATCATTAGAGCAAATAGACAACCCACAGAGGGGGAGAAAATATTTGCTCTCTACACTTTTGATACAGGTCTAATAACAAGAATCTACCTAGAACTTAAAAGAATAAACAAGAAAAAATCAAACAATCCCATCAAGAAATGGGCAACAGAAATGAACAGAAACTTCTCCAAAGAAGACAGAATAATGGCCTGCAAACATATAAAAAAATGCTCAACATCTCTAATCACCAGAGAAATGCAAATCCAACCACAATGAGATACCATCTAACACCAGTGAGAATGGCTTGTATCAACAAATCCCAAAACAACAAATGCTGGCGAGGATGTGGAGAGACAGGAACACTCCTACACTGCTGGTGGGACTGCAAGTTAGTGCAACTTCTGTGGAAAAGAATATAGAGATACCTCAAACAGCTAGATATAGAAATATCTTTTGACCCAGCAATAGCATTGTTGGGCATCTACCCAAAAGAGCATAAGACATTCTACTATAAAGACATCTGCACCTGAATGTATGGCAGCACAATTGACTATTGCAAGATCATGGAAACAACCCAAGTGTCTGTTAATTCATGAGTGGATAATTAAAATTTGGTATATGCTCACAATGGAATACTACTCAATTCTAAGAAATGACAGTGAGCTGGCACCATTTATGCTATCCTGGATTAAGCTTAAGCCTATTATCCAAAGTGAGGTGACACAAGATCAAGAAAGCGGGATCCACATCTACTCGCCATCAAATTGGTACTGACTGATTAAAACTATGGTGTTCAAATGGTGATAGTGCCCACTAGGGGTTGGGGGAGGGGGAGATACACATCTTAGGGTTGTAGTGAGCATTGTCGGGGGGGGGGGAATACCTCTAACCCTTCATAAGGAAAGGCAAAGATATACAATGTAACCCAAAGGTCAAAAAACGAAAAAAAAAAAAGAAAAAGTAAAACTTTTACCGGGTGGTGAGCAGATGGGGGTGCGAGGAGGGGAAAGATATATACTTACAAAATAGGTGTGATGTGCACCACCTGGCGGTAGGACACGCTTGATGTTTTGGTAAGGTTGGGGCCAGGGGGAGGAATGGCAGGGGCAATATATGTAACCCTAATAATATTTGTACCCCCATAATATGATAAAATAAAAATAAAAAAAGAAAAAAGAAAATGTGCTTTATATATAACATGGAGTACTACTAAGCCATTTAAAAGAATAAAATAATGTCTTTCACAGTGACTTGTATGGAACTTGAAGCTATTATCCTAAGTGAAGTATCTCAACAATGGAAAAACATGTACTGCTAGTACTCACTTATTAGTGAGCACTGAATGATGGGTGTACATGGTCATGCAGAGTGGTATAATAGACTTTGTAGACTCAGAAGGGGGGAGGGTAGGATGATGGTGAGGGATCAATATTTACATATCATGTACAATGTACACTATTTATGTATATATAAATGACTTCACCTGATTTCACCACTATAAAATTCATCCATGTAACAATTCACTTGTAGCCTCTAAAGTATTGAAATAAAAAAGTGGACTCTAGTTCTCCACTCTTTGCATGTGGGTTGGCCATGTGACTTGCTTTGGACAATGGGATATTAGCAAATTTGATGCAATCAGAATCTTGAAAAACACTTGCACATCAAGGTTTGCTCTCTTGCTGTTCCTAAAACCCCTGACTACCATGTAAGTAAGTTCAGGCTAGTCTGCTGGTTTATGAAACCCAGTCATTTTTGTCATTGTAGACGATGCTCAGACAACCCCCAAACAAGTGAAGCCATTCACCTGCAGCTAACTGAAAGTGCATGAGGGATCATAGATTAGCAGAAAAACTGCCCAGCTGAGCTCACCCACACTGACAAACTACAGAATTGTGAATTTGATCAATCATTAATTTAAGCCACGAATTTTCATGTGGTTTCTAATACAACAAAGGTTAACTGATGCACATGCTTTATAAATTATAAAGAGAAAGAGAAAATCATATAAGACTTCAGAGTGGGAATAAAAGTTTAGCTGTATTGAATTCTCCATACACAATAGTGTTTGCTATTAGATATTGAGATAATGTTTATGGAATTATGGAAGAAAAGGACTTGAAACTAAAATACCGTTTCAAGGAAACAAACTTTGGATATACCAGAAAGCTTTCACCTAGGGGCAGAGACAATTTCCAATAATTCACGGATTCTATTTGAAAATATTCTCTTAAGTGAAATCATATACATTAATTTTGTATGCTTATATTAGTTCGCTTAGGCTGTTATAACAAAATACCACAGACAGGGTAGCTTAAAGAACAGAAATTTATTTTCTCACAATTCTGGAAGATAGAACCTGAGCCTCATGTCAGCAGGTTTGGTGTCTTCTGAGGCTTCTCCCCTTTTTTTGTAGATGGCCTCCTTTTTGTTATGTTCTCACATGTTCTTTCCTCTGTGTATGTGAGTATCCCTGGTGTTTCTCTGTATACCCTAATCTCTTCTTTTAAAGACACGAGTCAGATTGGATTAGGGCCCACCCTAATGACCTCATTTTAACTTAATTACCCCTTTAAAGATTCTACCAGATCTAATCCCATTTAGAGGTACTGGGGGTTAGGGCTTTAACAATTTTGAGGGGACACAATTCAGCTCATAACAATACTTTTCCTGAATGGTGATATAATTCCTGTGAATGAAAGGAAGACAATTGAAGAATAGTTAAGCTTCTTGCAACTGGCATGATTCTTTCCTGTATGAACAACATTAATGGCAACTGTACCTCTATGAGGGACTCCTTTAAGCAATGTGGGGATCTAGATAAATGTGAATACAAAAAAAAAAAAAAAAACGAAAGAAAGAAAGAAAATACAAGGGACTCCCAGGGCCAACAGAAGCTGGACTGATAATGGTTGTATAGGTCTCCAGTTTTGGTGTCCACCTTACTTCCCATATGACTCTGTATTCTTGCATCAACCAATCAGGACCATATCATATCTAATCTTATTGGGGTACATGTGTGTCTGGTGGATGTGCATTTATGTGTGGTCTCTTTCTACCACTTCATAATTCCTCTGAAATACTGTAGATAGTATTAGAAGTGGGAATGGCCTAAAAAAATCCACCAGTACCACTATCAGATTTGGGAAGAAATGCTGGTAAAATAAAATAAAAAATGGTGACCTAAGGTTAAACAGTATGGAAAACCAATAGCCCAAAAAGAAAGAAAGAAAAAAAAAAACAATTTGAAAGAGAGCTATGGCCTTGGAGTATTGTGATTTGTGCAAATGTATTATAAGTAAATTTGGTTTGTTCTTTGTAATTCAGAGAAAAATATTTCAAAAAAATGTATACAGAAGATGGATGCTTTCTATGTGGAAAAATAACAAGAGCAAATTGAAATGATCTTGATTCAACTAAAGCTTTAAGCAACCAACTACTGTGTCTCAGAAATGATTTTTTTGTTTTGTTTTAGGAATAAAGCTAATGTGTTGGTAGATAACTAGGTGAGATAACAGAGGCTAGCAAGACACTCAGAAAAAACAATTTTTCCCGACTTTCTTTTCATGTCTAGAAATCTTAGGGAGAATTATCTCTGTTTATTTTCTGTGTCATGTTAAAATGTTTACTCAAAACCTTGGCTTTTGTGGGAACCGAGCCAAGCACAAGGGGGAGGGAGGAAGGGAGGTGGCAGTAGCATGTTGAAAAGCATTTTGCCTTTCTTTAAATAAAAAATGTGTCTTAAGACATCCAAAAGGAAAAGAGCACAAATGTTTCCAGATTTGAGGAAATTTCCCAAAAGGTACTATGAATTGACTTTTTGTTTGTTTGTTTGTTTCCTTGTTTTTAATATTTTTTTATTTCAGCATATTATGGGGGTACAAATGTTAAGGTTATGTATATTGTCCATGCCCCGCTCCCCCCTTGAGTGAGAGCTTCAAGCATAACCATCCCCCAATAGGTGCACATCTCACTCATTATGTTTGTATATACCCGCCCCCTCCTCCCCTTCCCACCTGCCCGATACCCAAGTAATGTAATTCCTATATGTCCACTTAGGTGTTGATTCATTAATACCAGTTTACTGGTGAGTATCTGTGGTGCTTGTTTTTCCATTCTTGGGATACTTCACTTAGTAGCATGGGTTCCAGCTCTGTCCAGGAAAATACAAGGGATCCTATATCACCATTGTTTCTTAGAGCTGAAGAGTACTCCATGTTACAAATATACCACATTTTATTAATCCACTGATGAATTGATTGGAACTTGGGTGGTTTCCACAAGTTTGCAATTGTGAATTGTTCTGCTATAAACATTTGAGTGCAGGTGTCTTTTTTATAGAATGTCTTTTGTTCTTTTGGGTAGATGCATAGTAGTGGGATTGCTGGATCAAATGGTAGGTCTACTTGTGTCGCTTTAAGGTAGTTCCATATTGCTTTCCATAGAGGTTGAACTAGTTTTCAGTCCCACCAACAGTGTAGGAGTGTTCCTATCTCTCCGTATCCACGCCAACATCTATTGTTTTGGGACTCTATGATAAAGGCCATTCCTACTGGAGATAAGTGATATTTCATTGTGGTTTTGATTTGCATTTCCCTGCTGATTAGAGATGTTGAACATTTTCTCATATGTTTGTTAGCCATTATTCTTTCTTCTTTTGAAAAGTTTTTGTTCATGTCATTTGTCCCCTTTTAATGGTGTTATTTGATATTTTCTTGCTGATTTTCATGAGTTCTAAGTAGATTCTAGTTATCAGCCCCTTATCAGATGTGTAGGATGCGAAAATTTTCTCCCATTCTGTAGGTTGTCTATTTGCTTTCATGACTATTTCTTTGGCTGTGCAGAAGCTTTTTAGTTTGATCAGATCTTATTTATTTATTTCTCTTGCTGCTGTGATTGCCTTTGGGGTCTTCATAAATTCTTTGCCTAAGCCAATGTCTAGGAGAGTGTTTCCAATAGTTTCCTCAAG